GATTGAACTGTTCTGTGATGATCAGTACAGAATTGAATTGGATTGGATTAATTAAACTGATCTAAATTTGGGAAAATGCATTTTCMATATTTAAGCTCAAAATGGTATCTTTTGAATTTTTATCCACATTGTCCTGGCTTTCTATGGTACATATGTACCCAGCATAAGTATTAAACCAGCCAGGCCTTCCCCTTATTTCTGAATCCTCAAGACAGACACTGCTCAGCTCAAGAGGGAACCAAATACACCTGCACAGTGACAGCAGTGCTTCATTTGAGGACTCTGAAGGATCCATCACAAAGTCCTATTCTTTTCCATCCACACTACCCACMCTGTGATATTCTATATTCAATGACTAAAGATTATTGTTCCTTGATTCCTTGCACTATCAGTGAAGTACACTAGGGGGCGTAGTTGCCATCACCTAAAGCTGGCTTCTCTTACCATGAGTGCCACTACTCCAGCCAACTCCAGCCAAGACAGGTGACACACCTGGAGGAGTCCATAAAGCTGCCCAGTGTGAAATATTTCAGAAACAGATTTACTACTGAATTTCAGATTTTAAATTTCTCGTATCTGGTTAATTGAACATAATGTACCTCTCTTTGTAACGTAAACTTTTCTTTCTACTTCTCCCACTCAAAGGCTTTTTATTTACATTGATCTGAATTTATATCTTAGAGTAAATTTCTCTAGATTAAGTGTTGCTTCATCTGGCATGCAATGTGTTGGTCACATTATCAGTTAATATACTTTAGAAACTTCTGGCCTGAGATCTCTCTGTCTCTGTATCTCTCGTCTCTCTTCCCCCTCACCACTCCCTTTCTTTTAGATTTTACTATATTTTAATTTCTTTTAATTTTAGAATTTTCAAGAAATGGCATAAAGAGAATATAGAGAGTTGCCATATACCTCTCGCCTAGTTTACCCTAAGATTACATCTTATATTACTGGTAGATTTGTTAAAACTRAGACATTAACATTAGCATCTGCTCAAAGTTTTCATCCAAGATATCATACTGCATTTAGTTTGTTTCTCTTCAGTTTTCTATGATCTGTTTTCATGACCTTGATAATTSCAAACAGTATTGGTCAGATGTTGTAAAATGTCCATCATTTCAGGTTAGTCTGATGTTTCTTTCATGACTGGTTTGCCATGTGGATTGGAAGGGAGAGTACCATTATGCAAACCCTCCCATCCATCATCTCAGAAGCCCGTGACACCCACAAGACTTACCACTGATGGCATTAAACGTGATCTCTYGGTGAAGTGTGGKAGGCCATCCTCACAYGAGAGGYGCTTAGACACAGCTGTGTCAGAGCTTTCCCCATCCTTCTCAGGTCCSAGAGCTTGTCCRGGTGGAGGCGTGCMWGGCCACTGCSCCRAAGACMCAATTGTCACTTCTGACCTTGGGATGCTGCCCCCYTTAATCTTCATTGGATGGGATTTTCCCACTCCCTGGCRTGCTCTYCCTCTCTCSCTAGTCTCTTCTGTAAACCTTGMCACCACATTAGGTGGCTGGAGGYRGGARCTAGGAGAAGCCRTCCCGGARCTGGTATTAAAGGTAATGAGAGTCTTGTCTCTTTMATTTAAAACTSCCTAGTGTTTTACTCACGAATCGAACCTTCTTTAATGAAGCCAGCGCTGGTYRCTGGGCAGAGTGAAGGTTCTATATGCTAGCTATTTCCACTGTAAAGTTATTTTTCCTTTTGCACAAAGGCCAGCCCACATTAAACTTCATGTCTTGGGTTAGATTTCTGTAACAAAGATGTAGTCTTGTTTTCTTGTTTTTAATATATTCATAATTTATTTATATCTGGGAAGACTAATATTTATTTTCTACTTTGGGTTTTTCCTGGGTATTATACCATCTGTAAGTCACCTTTTCTCCTGACCATATCAGTGACTTACTTCTCTTTCTCTTTTTATCCATTTCCGTAATTTTCCCGTGCACACTGATTCCCCAAGCCTTGGCCTGAATTCAGCTCTACAGTCATCTCTATCCCTGTTATAACACTATGTGAGAAACTTTCTATAGGAATTGAAACGATAGTGTTAACTAAATTGTTTTTCTCTMTATGGATGTAACTAGAGCGGGAAGACCAATTCCAGGATTTTTTGCTCTCCRTATCTGTGAAATGAAAACTTCAGAGTCACTGTGAAGATTAAGTGAGGAATTCAGTGAAGATCACAGAAGAAACATTTAACAATCATGAGCTGCTAGTACCACTAGAACTAGATCATCATCACAGACGAGYTCAGTAACTCCAGGAAACACTGATGCCAACCTTGTAATGTGTMATATACCTGAAGGTGCTGATCACTTTCATCTGCTTCTTAGATTACTAAATCTTCAAACTTTCCAAGTCTTGATCCTAATAAATTTTGGCTTTTGGGGGAAAGGAATCCACAAAATTTTAAAGATATTTTGTTTGACTTAATAATAGTTGTATTAATTATGGAGTACATTGAAACATCTCAATACATGAATGCATTGTGGCATTTAAAAATTAGATTAATTAATATATTCTTGGGCTGGGGTTATAGCTCAGTGATGGAGCACTTACTAGCACATGTGAGGCACTGGGTTCGATGCTCAGCACCACATAAAAATGTATTTATTTATAAAAATAAATAAATAAAGATATTGTGTCCATTTACAACTAAAAATATTTTTAAAAAGAAAAAAAAATAAAATATTCAAAATACATTCATCACCTCACATATTTATAGTTTTCTTTCTTGTTTATTTATCTATTTATTTTTACTGAGGATTAAACCCAGGGAKGCTTTTAAGCACTATGTTATTGACTTAAAATAGCAGTTAAAATTTAACATTTGGCCATCGTGAATAATATTGTTTAGGGAAAACTTTTTTACTGAGTACAACTAGTAAAGATAGATTTTGRAAAACATCATCTATTTTGAAATATCTGAGAGCCATCAAGACAGTGAGGGATTAGAGGTCCATGATTCAAGAAAGGAAAGAAATCCTGAGGTAAAGCCTGGCATCCGGAACCACATTTCTTCATCTACAGGAATCTGGGAATTCCAAAAGCACAGCAGAGAGGGGCAAGACTGAGCAGAACTTTCTGCAGGGCCTTGGGACCCAGGAAAAAATAACTAGAATGTGGAGCCTACATAGAAGACACACAATGGTCAATACATTCAGTATGAGGTTGCAACCCTAAAACCTTACATCCTGAATCCCTAGGCCCTAGGACTAAGGTGAATCATCAGTAGAAAAATAAATAAATAAATAATAAAGCAGCCCTAATAAGTGATTAAAAATCCAAATTTGAATAATTTCACTTCCCGATCTGATTAAAAACAACAAGCATTGCTAGTCCCCAACCCTGTAAGGCTGAACAATTGAAAGGACAAATAAATAAAAAATAAATAAATATTTACTTTTTGCCGTATTTAAATTCTATTTAGATTTTTAAATTCATGGAGAACCAAAATATAAATATCTAACAACCATAAGACATAGTCTGAAGAAGGATACATGGAATTAAAATGTTCTGGCATTGAGCTAGCAGGAAGTCAGGAAGCACTAAAATATAAATGTCTATTAAAATTTAACATGTAGGATTGTGTAAAACTTTCTAAGATGGCCAATTAAAATGCTAAAAGATCACGAAATCAACAAGTTAAGAAATGAGAAGATGCTGTAGTTAGGAATACTTAATCTGAAATAGGCAGAACAGGGTCAGAAAAAGAGGGATAAAACAGCAAAATTTAGATGGCAAGTTAATTAGTTAGTTTATTTATTTATTTATTTATTTATTTATTTATTTATTTATTTATTTATTCTGGGGATTGATCCTAAAGGTGCTTAACTACTTACCCACATCCTCAGACCTTTTAATTTGCTTATTAATTGATTGATTTTTTTTTGAGACAAGTTCTCACTAAGTTGCTCAGCCTCCTTAGTCACTGACACTACATGTATGCAACACCACACCCATCCAGAGTAGATGGTAGATTTAAAAACGAATATATCAGTAATTTCATTAATGACAATTAATTTCATTAATTGTCTAAGTGAATAGAAAGAAACATACCTATATTATGGTTACAAGTGACAAAAACAGAGATTTACAAATTAAAGAGATGGAAAAAGATATACTTCAAAAACACTAGAAACCTGAATGGATGCACTTATTTTAGATAATCACCATATGGGCAAGTAAGCATTATTCAAGTTAAACCAATAAGTGCATCACAAGGAAGATAGAGCATTTCTAAACATGTGTGCATGTGATGATGCATTCTCTAAGTTATAAAACAAAACTATGGTGCAGAAAGAGGTGTATTAAAATCCACAATTTTGGTGCAAAATTTTTAATAGACTTCTGTGAACAACAAAGTATAAATAAGATTTAAGCATTTTTAATAAACATGACCTAATGAAACATCTGGAATTCAAAACTCTTAAAACCCAAAAGTATACATTCTTTTTAAGTAAACATGGGACATTCATTGTCAAACTCTGTTCGTGAAGCAACATGCACTTCAGATAGCTAAAAGTATACAAAATGTTTCCCTGGCACAATTAAGTTAAAAATCAGTGATTAAAAATGCAACCAGAAAATTCCCTCATGTCTAGAAATTCTGAAATACAAATTCTGAATACCTAATGTGTCAAAAAGCAGACGTTATAGGAAACATCAAGCTGACACAGGCAACCCAGCACGTCAGACTTTCTGATTTGCACGAGTGCCCTGCTTCAAGGAAGGTTTTAGCATTAAAGCACATAATGGGAAACTAATGGCTGAAAATAAGTTACTTAAGCAACTGCATCAAAAAATTAGGAAAAAAGAATACAAAAGCAAATTAAACTCAAGGAAAGTAGGAGGAAGAAAATAACAAAGAAAATGATAAGATCATAGAAACAACCAACAAAACCAAAAGTTATTTCTTTTGAAAACTTTATGAGTCGATACACCCTTGTCAGGATAAGAGAAAAAAAAAAAAAAAAGAACAAGAGTTAAAGTTCACTGGGAGTGTGACTCAGTGGTGGGTGTTTGCCCAGCATGCACAAGGCCCTGAGTAATTCAATCCCCAGAACCACACACACACAAAAAATAAAAACATAGAGAATGAGAACAAATTTTCAATACCAGATGGAAGGGAAAATAATTATTAATTCAGTAATAATAGAAAGAGATGAAGAAGCTGTTAGCAATAAATTAGGCACATTGAATAACTCATACAACAAAACACTTGGAAAACACAATGTACCAAAAACTTACATAATCATAAGAATTGTAAAATAGAAATCTAAGTGATGAAATCTACAATCGATACCATCTTAAAATAGGTGGKTTTTGATTATTTTTAATTATGATTATTGTTTGAAACTACGAGAACTGTTATTTGATCAAAATCCATGATCACTGGATGCAATGTCAAGAGATTGTCGGCTGGGCTAACATCCGAAGCTTCTGGACTTCTTGTACTTATTCCAAATGGGAGAGAAGACATGACGAGGGTTGACAGRTTTCCTGATAAGACCTGTCAAAAGAATGACCAAAAATTAGCTCTACATGAGTGATGTGTATGGCCACATTCATGGTTCAAAATGACAACTATTGTCAGATTGTTAGTCACAATGACAAAAATGTGGAAACAGCCCAACTATAAATGAATGGATAAACAAAATGTGGGTTATGATACATGCGATGAGATATTATTGGGCCTTAAGAAGGAAGGAAACTCTGGCACCTTCTATGACATGGATGAAACTTGAGGACACATTGCTAAGTCAAACAGGCCAGGGGCAAAGAGACAGATATTTCATGATTCTGTGTATACGAGGCACAGAGAAAACACAAACTCRCAGAAACGGAAGGTGCAGAGGTCTCTAGCAGGGCCTCGGGAAGGGAAGAAATAGCAGGTTTTTGCTTTTTGTTGATGTTGTTTTTAGAAGTGAGTTTCCATTTTGTAAAAGGAAAGATTCTGGAGTTGGATGCTGGTAAGGGCGCGAGTGGACTTAAAAAAATGGTAAAGATGGTACATTCGACGTTACATGGATTTTACCACATTTAAAAAAAATAATAATAGCTGCACACAGAAGATGAGAGTTAAGAGGGGAGTTTGGGTGGAAAGATAGAGACAAGTGTGCTCTCTAGACAGATGGAATGGTGGGAGGAGTAAGAGGGTGCAGGGCAAAGAACACTTAGTAAAAACTTACCGATGCCGCCAAAACCACAAGGCAAGGCCCAGTGCAATGACCAGACAGAGCACCATCACTATCAAAATGATCACAGCAATGGAGACGGAGCCTCCTGCCGATTGGGAGAGGACAAGAGATGGTACTTCACATCTCATCCCTGCACCCCTGGTTTTCCTGCAGCCAGCTCCCATGTGCCTCATTCTCTTTCTCCTCCTCCCTTTCTTTTCCTCTTTCCCTTTTTCTCCTTCCTCCTCTCCCTCTCCCTCCCCATCACACCACCCTTCTCCAGTCCCTCTGTGCTGGAGCGCCCCCTCCCCCATCTCCAGCCTGGGTCCCACTCTTACCACCCCAGTAGAGGACGAGGTCCTGCCCTCCTAGGCTGCTGTGCTTCACCCTGCAKGCCAGGCCAGCCGCCTCCCCAGCTGCCACGTCCAGGGTTGCTCGGAGATGCCAYGTCCCATCACCATTGGGCAGGAAGTCACCCCTCTGAGTGCCCTGCTGCTCCTGGTCACCTCGCATCCACATCACCCACACGGGCTTTGGGTAGAAGCCAGACACATGGCACACCAGCAGCAGACGGCCAGGCCCAGGGCTGGGGCCACTGGACAGCCAGGCCTCAGGCTTCACTGGGACAGAAAGGGGTACAGATGGTGTCACATTATGACACTAACCCATAGCACAGGGACTGAGAAACTCACRAGTTTGGGCCTAGGAGAGGTGGTGGAAAGTGAAACAGAGCGGCACTAACCTTGCCTCTGCAGATCTGCCTTCCCCGCCTCGAGGACACCCAGGAGAAACCGGGGGCAGGTTTCATACAGCAGCTTCTTCACAATATGGAAGATGTCTCCGTAAGGTCTGAGCAGGGCGCAGACGAGCTGTGCCCTGCTGCCCCCTTCTGAAGCAGGCACACAGGAAGAGTTCCTGAAGCTCACAAAGTCCAGGCCTCCTAAAGCCCCCCTTAAGAAGCTCAGGATGGCTCCCCCGGGGTGCAGCTCACAGCCTGCTATGCCCTGGATCTCAAAGGGGTCTRTGCACAAGGAAAACAGATGGAAGTTACCAACAAGAAATACAAAGATAATAGGGAGGACCAAGGATTTTGGATTTGGGTGAGGATAGAAGCCTGGAATCCGAGATAATGAACCAAAGTCGTCACACCATTCAGACACTTTCAAAAAGTGGAGCCATGGAGAGAGGGTTGCTTGTCGGAAAAGGATCAAGAGCGTAGTAGAATGTGTGGTGGGTAAGAGGGCACAGGAGAGGCAGACGGCAAGGAAGAATACCATGCGGTCACCAAAACAGCATTCTAGAGAGAAGCTGAGGGTCATGTGGACCGAAGGTCGAAGGGATGGATAAAAAGAAGAGCCACACTTTAGGTCACTCAAGCAGCCAGTAGCAAAGTAAGGATCCAGTTTCATGGGAAATAAAGCAGGGACTGGTCACAAAGCAGCTGCCTTCAACTATCACAAATGCAGAAGCAGCCAGAGTTGGGGACCCTTTGTGGAGGTGTGGAGGGAGCCTGCTCTATAGAAGAGTGTGCTCATAACTGGGCAAAGAAGGGAAAAGAGGAAAGGGCCAGAGGGAGCATTGCCCTCCACCAAGAGAAAACTAGTAACGGAGAAGCCGCCAGGTCTGAGGATGGGACTTACATTCCAACTGGAACTCATGGACGTGGGCCCGCATTTCTCTAATGAATGCAAAGGTATAGACCCGGAACAGCTCCACCAAATCAGATATCTCCACATCACTGAAATTGCCCTTCGACCAGGGCTTCAGGAATATGGCAGTGTCTGCCACACTATTCCAACCATGAATCTGCAGGTCATCCACCCAGCCTGAGCCGTGATACTGTATCCAGGTGCTGTTGACAAAGGATGAGATTTGGATGAGGTGGAATGAGATTGGCTCCTGGGAGGCTGTGAAGAAAGGAAGGAAAGAGAGTGAAGAGAAAGGGAGAGGCAGGAGGGAAAGAGAAAGCATGCAGCAAAATCCCAGGGTCTGCAGAAACGTAACGCTTGGCACATTGGAGAGCCCCCAGGGCCTCAGGCGGCAGCCCTACCTCCAGCAGGTGGAAGAGGGCCAGAGTCAGGAGGGGGCAGGACCTCAGAGTAAACGTGCACCTGGGCAAGACACCCTGCTTTCAACCAGGTCCTCTGCAGCAGTTTATGCCACCGTCATGCTTACCTCCCTGATTGTCCCCACCTGGGTAGAGAACTGCTAATACAAGCAGCAGCAGCATTTCACTGAGGGAGGGCTTCTGGCTTTCGGCTGGTGTTTGAACTCTGCTTTCGGAAACGCTGTTGTTTCTCAGTCTGTRGTGACTTCCTCTCTTCCAACTGACAAATCTCTTCCTCAGACAAACTCTGTACCAAAGAATTAAAGGTGCCTCCTACTCCACCTCTCATTTCCCCTGCCACCCCGACTTCTAAGCCTTCTCGTACCTCCCCAACTTCCTTCATCTGACCTCAGAAGAGCCCCTGTGAGATTTCGAAACACCATTTCCCTACCTCCCTGAACCTTATGCCCACCTTATTAAATAAGAGGGTAGTACTAAAGAATTGCTCAGATTCCAACCTGTGAGGATTCTTTCGGTTTCTCCCCTCAATTCACCCCCTCCCTTCCCTTCTCAATATTCTCAGTGTCTCCTTTTTCTTAACTGGTCCTCTTTGTCTGGTGTCCCCGACCTCATACTCAAGTCTGGTTCTGTGTGTGTGTGTGTGTGTGGGTGGGTGGGTGAATGTGTGTGTGTGTGTTCCTCTATCCGTGTTGATAGTCACTTACCTAAAGGAAAAACATTTTAAAAACCTCCTAAGTCCCAGATTCAAACATGATAAATGCCRCAGTTTATAGTTCAAACAAAATTATCTAATACCATACAATTTTTGAGGGTAAAAAAGGCATTTGGTGCTGTACTACTTTCTTCAAGGTCCCTCCTGACCTTTGGAGTAACAAATTTTCATGAGACAAGCAGAACTCTAAGAGCTAAAGTCAAAAATAGCATTTTGAGTAACGTTCTAGAAGTAGTAGGGTCTTTTCCTTTTGCAATAATTCACAACCTCTGTGACATTTAGGACTTTTCTGTCACCATATAAGTCATTACTGTAGGTAGAAGTAACCTGCCACATTTTTCTTCAATATTTCTTAGATGTTTGTTTTGAGGTGTTAACTCCTACCTTATCTTTGCATGCCTTTGGAAAGTCTTGTCAATATGCTGACAATATACTGAATGAAAAATACAGATCCTAACCAACATCTTGGTTTAAGGATGATTTTTAGATTTTCACTAATGAGGAAAAAATACAAATTCACATATATCTTCACATCATCTTGGAGAAGCATGGTGGAAACCAATTCCAAGTATCAAGGTTTGTCTGCTGCTAACTGATTTTACTATGCAAAATAAGTAATGGACCTTTCTCTGTTCCCAGAAATGAAAGGCTCACAACAGTAGAAAAAAAAAAAACAGCTTTCATCTACAATCCCCACTGCCTAATCAGAAAGTCATAACTGCTGTCCAAATGTCAGACTATGTATCTCTTAATGATATTCCCAGACTTAAATATATAATGTAATCTAGTCCACTGTTGAGATAAGAGGCACAGACAACAGCATGGAGTTAACATCAGCTGTCATTCACGCAGCATTTTTTTTACTTGGTAAGTGTTTCATTTACCCAAGATAGAACACCCAAGGTTCAGCTTACTCTGTGTGCTGCAGTTTCACTTGCATGAGCAGAGTTTAGGAACACAGGGGCGAAACCTGGGAGGTGTGCAGACACGTGGAATGGACACGTCCTCCTGCACCACCACCCTACACTGACAGCCAAGAGGAAGCAGCAAAACCTGGCCCCAAGAGGATGCCTGGGGGATCAGCGTGAGTGTCTGCAAGGTGTACTCAGGCAGAGATGAGAAGCCAGAGGCACCAGATACAGGGGGTTCCGAGAGTTCTGCTCCCTGTACCAGGATGCTGTTAGAATTCTCTTCACAGGGCCAGAGCTTCCTGTCCAAGCCACACTCACTCCACGGTTGCTGTTACTGTGAATGTCTCAGCTTGGCTTTAAGCTTGGCTCCAGCTGCCAACAGATTCATTAGGACGAGAAGATGGGGGAGGGGGGATTAACTAACTTCACTTAGCATTATCTTCTCCAACACCATCCATTTACCAGCAAATGCCATGATTTCATCTATTCTTAAAAAAATAATTTTTTCCTCTACCTCGAATAGATTCCACTTTAATACTCCTCAGTTCTATATATCTCTTTATTGTTACCAGGATAGAGAACATCTTATCTACTGTATTTTCTTTTAATTTCAATGATTATGTTTCCCATTTCCATGATTTAGTCCAGTTATTTTTTATTCATATCTGTTGAACGTTATTTTGTTTCCATTTACTTCTGCTCCACACATTTTCTTCTTTTACATATGAGGGAAAACATAATGAAGGCTCCATCACATTTCCTAAAACTGAATATCTGAGAACCAGATAATTTGACATAATTTCCTGCTAGTTTTCCTTCTTCACCCAAAACCAATTACCAGTMCTTTCCTTTGGCTCTGTCTCTCCAAGGCATCATTGGAAGATGTAAATCAGTGTGTCCCAGGAATTCTTTTAACAAACCCAAATGTCTGTCACAGGAAAAGGGGGAAATAATTTTTAAACTTATAGGAATTTGGTGGCTATCAACAACATAAGTCTTTCTCAGGGACTGGAGAACTATCTTAGGGATTGGAGAACTATCCAAGTGATTCCTGGAATTATTTAGAAGCATTGTTTGCCCCAGTAATCTCATCAAAGTTACTATTAACTACTTCCATGCTGTCTTCAAAGCCAAAAATCATGGTGGTCACATGACTGAAATCCCAGCAGCTCAGGGGGCTGAGGCAAGAGGATGTCAAGTTCAAAGCCAGTCTCAGCAATTTATCAAGGCACTCAGCAACTCAGTGACACCCTCTCTCTAAATAATAATATAAAAATATTTTTCTAAAAAATATTGACCACAAATTTAGAGAACAAAAAACAAAAACAAAAACAAAAAACAAAACCCTAAAATCTTTCCTCAGTTTAATACTATGTTCCTATTCTCAATTTATGAATTCTCAAAGTTTGATTAGAGTTGATTTCTTCAGAGTCTGCATTGGGAAGATTTTCTGTTGGGAGGATTTTCCATTGAAATTAGAGTTCTGGGCTTAGGTTGTGGCTCAGTGGTACAGGGCTCACTTAGCATGCTCGAGGCACAGGTTTCGATCCTCAGCACCACATAAATGTAAAATAAAGATATTGTGTCCACCTAAAAAAAACTTAAGAATAAATATTAAAAAAAATAAGAAATTAGAGAGTTCTTTCGAAACCTGCAATGTCTAATTGAGATAAAGTAACTTGAGTGTTCCTCACTTTTTAAACTCATGCAAAAGAATTACTAGAATGTAAAAGATACCACAACCCTGGTCCCACACTCACCAAAATTTTAAACAAGCCTAAAATATGAGAACAATAATCTAGTCAAAATCATACTACCAGAAGAGCGTATTTCACATTGCTAAAGACCATGTCAGAAACGGAGTGGTGAGTCCTGTCTTATGGTGAGGGAGTCCCTGTCAATCTGAATGTAGAATAGCAATTGCCAGAGTCTGGGAAGGGCAGGGCAATACATAGGTTTGGTAAGCAGGTACCACGTTGCCCAAAGTGATCAGCAGATTCAAAGCGGTCCCCATTAAAATCCCTATTAAATGATATTTCATAGAAATACACAATTCTAAAATTCCTATGGAACCACAGGAGATATAGAATAACCAAAGCAATTCTAAGAAAGGAAAAACAAAATGAGAACCATCACATTCCCCAAATTAAAAATCATTTACAAACCTATAGAAATCAAAGCAGTGTGATAATGGTAYAAAGTCAGAATAGAGAGCCCCAAATCAACCCAAACATATACGGTCAACTAATTTTTGTAACGGGGTCACAATGGGGAAAGTATCCTCTCTTTAATAAATAGTTCTGGCAAAACCGAATTCCCAACTGCTAAAGAATGAAACTGCACCCAGACACAAAACCTTAACTCCTAAAGAAAAGAAGAGTCACTTTTGACATTGGCCTAGACTTTTTTGGATATTACACCAAAGGTTCAGACTACAAAGACAAAATGAATGCATAACAACTTATCAAACTGAGAAGTTTCTTACAGCAAAAGAAATAGTCTAGAAAATAAAAAACTGCAATTTTGTTTTTCTTTTTTGGTACTGGGGATTGAACCCAGGGGCACTTGGCCACTGAACCACATCCCCAGCCCTATTTTGTATTTTATTTAGAAACAGGGTCTCATTGAGTTGCTTAGTGCCTTGCTTTTTCTGAGGCTGGCTTTGAACTCTGGATCCTCCTTCCTCAGCCTCCAAAACCCCTGGGATTACAGGCATGCGCCACCACACCCAACTAAAAACAGCAATCTTTTTATACTATACACATATTTAATTTTGTTGGGAGCAAGTTTTTCAAGAAAAGATGATTTTTACTACTGTAAGAATATTGTATTATACAAGTGTTTAGTTTAATTGACTGAATTATGCATAAGATGCATATAATTTTAAACATTGCAAATAACTAGCTAGTTCTTAAGGCATGAAACAGATAATTTTGGAAATAACTTTATTTAGTTTATATTTTGATGACTTAAATCTGTAAGAGCATTGATCATACTGAAATTGATGATGCTTAAGATTTGTACACTTCAAATTCCAAAACTTGCTGGGTGGCTTTTACATGGTAGAAAGGTTATGTCTGGTTATACATTGGCCAGTGTTGTTCTTTGTTTATTCTGAATTCTGTATCTGTTATGAACTAGAAATTAGTTAATTTTAAGCATGGAGTCAGATGAGTTTAGGATACTGGAGTTGCCACAGGTAGGAAACAGAAAAGTCAATGTTTTCATGTACAGAACAAAAGAGATTCATGTAACTTTCATTAAACATTTGTTGGAAAATGTATATATAATTGAATAATAATGCAATAATAATTGATTAATAAAAATCCATTTTAATATAGTTTCCTTGACAGTTGTGCCCAGGTCAGTAGTACACTGTTGTGAAATTAATCTCCAGAATTTTATCTTGCAAATCTAAATTTTAAATGCATTATGCAACTCCTTACCCTGGGAGATAGGAAATTGGCCACATATAAATCAGCACCCAAAACACTTAGTAGTTTGTGTTTTCAAGGTTTGAAGTCATGGTAAACATCAAGTTCCTAAAATTAGGRGGAGACAGAGAATTTTTCCCCTCTATTCCATCTTCACCTCGATTTCCAATAATAATTGCATAGGTTTGAAATATCTATTAACTGGAAGAATTTGTTATTTCATTTTGAGCCAGAGGAAGAAAACCATTTAAACATCAGAATTCAGTTTTGCGTTGGTACTAAAGCAGGAAGGTGATAGATTTTCACAAGTTATATTTGCCTTGTTGTTAAAAACATCCGCTGTCTTTAAATCTGCTTGTAAAAGTCAGATAGCTTGTATTGTTCTAGAAATTGACACCTAGTTTCACTTTCTGTTCATGTTAATAATATAATGATAATAATAAGATCTGTAATAAAAGCCCTACCTCCTATAGGGCAAGCACWACACTAGATTTTTACATTCATGATCACATTCAGTATTTGCAAAAATCCTCTGAAGAGAAAACCATCAGTATCTTTGTTTTGCAATGATGAAACTGAGCTTCCTAGGTGACACAGCTGAAAAGGGACAAAGTGAGATTAGGCCCTYGGTTGGTCTGTCGTATTACAAAGTCTGTACTTGTAAGTTCCAGGCCGTGATGGCTAACATCTGTACTTCCTCAAAACATTACATCTGAGTACATTACTTCTAAAAATTTGTTTTGTGAAACTAACATATATTCCCCTAGAGACATGGAGTCAAATTGCCGTGCTTTAAGTTCATTTCAAACAGCGCCTGTCTCTGTGGTATGTCACCAACTCAGGAAGCAAGCGGTCGTGCTCAATTTACATTCTCTTTACAAGATTTAGGAATTGATTTTTGCTTGATTTAATTTTAATTTTACAAAATATACATTGCAGTTGGACTTCCAGAGTGGCAGAGGAAAGAACAGGTATCCTTTCCCCAAAACTCAGGGTTAAAACAGGATACAATTCTCAAAATAAGACATCTCAGAATTAAAGAATGAGTGAGGGCAACAACAAATTGAGAAGAGCTTGCTCAAAAATAACTACCAGAGCCCCCATAAGAACAGTGGGCACATAACACAGGGAAGTTTGCATCCTTCCCCTGGCCAGATGATAAATCCAGCTGAGGTCTTGCTGGCACAGGAAGGGTAGATATCACTTGGAACTCCATAGAAAGGCCCCACACCCAGAGAACTTGTAGAAACAAGARCCACAGTGGTAAAAACCAAAGGTGGACATCACAGCTGCCAGAGGCTGCAGAACTGGACAAAGAAAAGAAATACCAAGCGAGATTTAACAAAGACATCTGGGAGATGAGACACGCAGAGTGGACTCTGATCCGCTCCAACTTGTTTCTGGAGATCTGGAAGGCTGCACACTTATGACCAAAGGGGAAGAGTCATCTGCCCAATCTGATTGAACACAAAACCTTGCACAAAGAGAAAGTACAGCCCAGGACAGATTTGTCAACTACTCAAGCAGTATGTGCCCTAACCACACAGGCTTCCTCAGCAAGTACTTACTAGTTTAACTAACAAGGCACAGCCTCTGACAAATCATTGCCTACCACCTAGCTGTACTGACCCAGGAGTGGCTTCCTAGGAGCCTAGCTTAATAACTGGAAAAAAAAGTAAAAATGAAGGCAGGGAGGGAGAAACAAAGGAAGAAAGGAGGAAAAATATCTATCTTAAAAAATAATAAAAAAAAACTGATCAGGAACATCAGTGTCTATAAACCACATGGCCAGCAGAATCTACAAAACTGCTCCAAGCAAGTAACTTAAAAATAAAAATATAAAAGCAAACAAACAACAACCAAAGAAAAAAACACAAAAAAGCATATATGAGGTATTAGTTTGGCTCCCCAGACACTGCAAAAAGAATTTCAAAAATAAAAATAAAAGGGAGAGAAGCAAAACAAAACAAAAGTGACTTCTTCGAAGAGTCTACTACTAGAAAAGAAAAAAAAATAATCAAAGAACAGATGAATTTAAAAACTTAAAGTATATACATCCAGGGAGTTCTATTAGCACTTCCAAGGAATGGGTTACTGATATACCCAGCAACCAGATTACTTATCACCATAAGCTTAATGGATATAAAGTCTGATGTAAAGTGTACCTCGATTTATTCCTACCTGAATAAACTTAGAAAATACAAATCTAAGCTTCAGAGGCATAAAGCAGATCAGGAGTTGCAAATTGTTGGTTTGAAGGTGGTTTTGACTTACAAATGGGTTTGAAGGGTTGTAGAATTCTATCTTATTTGAAGTCTTGTTTACCTGGGCAAATATATTTGTTCAGATAAATTATGCACTTAAAATACATGCATTTTACCAAAAGGTATACAATAACAGAGTTGATTTAATTTTTTTCAAAGATGGCAAAAAATGAAAAAGAAAACATTTCAAAGGACAAGAACAGATTGAAGCAGGAAACACTTCATATCAGACAGAGGGACACAGGCTCAGCTGGTTTTGCCCCTGCTAATTCAGCACCTGTGTGTAACGCTTTCCTATTCAGTGCTGAGCAAATGCTAGTTGAATTAATGATTGAAACCTAAAGGGGCTACAGTGTAGCCCAGGCTCTTTCAAAGAACACATTGTTACAGGAAATTTGTCTCCCCTATAACATGGTTGCCGCCATACCAACCCAACCCTGAGAAGTTACTCTCTTGCTTCTTTTTCTTAAACCATTTTGTGATACCTGTGGCCCATTACTTTTCATACCTGACTTGCATACSTCTATTTGTGTTTGGAACAAACTAGAAGCCATTACCTCCCCATATTTAATGTTTCAAGAGGAAAAGTTATATTTGTCCTTAAAGGTTTTAGGAGAAGACGAGGAAAGTCAAAGGAAGCTGGAATGTTTCAGCTAAATAACAAACACTTAAACAAAAGGGAAGTATCTACGATCCAACAGACACAGCTGTGTAAGAAAAGCATGAGAAAAAAAAAAAGCTACCAACATTACCAATTAGTCCTGACATGGATATGGTAATTTTTTTTTGTTCACTGTGTCTAGTTTTCCACTAAACACAACATGAGCATCTATTGCATGTAGGAAAGGTACCTTGGTCATGGTCATTACCCACAAGGAGCTTAAAAATAAAAAGGAGAAGAAAGATGCGCATGGCGGTGCTCAGGTTGGAAGTGAGGCCGGCACGCAGAAGAGTCCAGTCCAGGAACTTGCTCAGCTCAGAGGTGGGAGAGGCTGCTTCCCAATCCTGGGTCAAGGAAGTGGCCTCAGGGCTTTGAAATTAAAGTGGGATATGGAAACAAGTGGCTGTCAGGCAGAAAGAGAAAGAACTCAAATGGAGCGGAGTGTACAAATGATGGCATCACTAGGTTTTCCTAAGCCCCTGGGTTCTCAGGCTCTTGTTGCAATGGGGAGACGTCGTGAGGCATCTCACAGGATATTCTGAAATTAGCTACAAGAGAACAAATGGGAGAAACCATAGATAAACTGGAGATAGTGACTAGGATAAGGTGGAGCTGTCCAGAGAGAGAAGCTGAGCCGTAAGAGGGTAGATCTGGGATGAAAGAGAGGAACATAGACTCACCATCACATCTTACGCCCTAATACAGGGATGATGAGAAGTATCACAGGTACTATCACTGCCAAGAGGATCAAGTTCACAGAAGTGTGGTGTCCTGTGGATATTAGAGACAGGGAAGGATGTTATCTTAAACCCACTGCTGATTCTCCTCCACCCATTGATTTCCTTACTTTCCTTGTGCATTGGGTATGAGCCACATCAGTCATCCTGTTTCAGCCACTCTGTTTCCACCCCTATGCAGGGAAGGATTCCTCATTTGCCCGGAAATCTCTTGGCTGTATGTGTCCCTACGTCTCACTCTTCCATGTCTTGAATTACTGGTGTTCATTTCTTCCTCACACCCCTCACCTACCTTACCAAAATGTCCACATGACCACCTACTCTATCTCCCAGTCTTACCCCAGTAGAGGATCATGTCCCGGCCTCCTAGACAGCTGTGCCTTACTCGACAAGACAGGCCAGATGCTTCCTCAGTTGCCACCTCCAGGAGCACCCGAAGATACCACGTTCCATCGGCATTAGGAAGAATATCATCTTGCTTGGTGCCCACTTGCTCCTGCTCACCTCGCATCCACATAACCCAGATAGGTTTGGGGTAGAAACCAGAGACGTGACAAACCAGCAATAGTTGACCCGACTCAACGGTGGGGCGACTGGACAGCCAGGCCTCTGGTCTCACTGCAGAAAGCACAAAGGGGATTCAGATGTGGATGTTATGTACAGCCTAGGGACACATATCCACACCAATATGCACGGTTATCTATTTTCTTCCCCAATGGAAACTATCACCAAGTAACCCTTCTCCCTCTTGTCCCCTTCCTCGTCCTAAGTTCACATAGGGTGGCACTCAGATGAAGGTGCAGAACTGACCTTTTCTTTGGAGCTCCCTCTTTCCCGCATCTAGGAGACCCAAGAGGAATCGAGGGCAGGTGTTTCTGGTGAGATTGTACACTATTTCCTTGATGCCTTCATAGCGATTAAGGAGATCACAGATTTTCTGGGCTCTACTCCCACCCTCTGGAGCTGGCACCCATGATATGTTTTGGAAGCTCAGGAAATCTGATCCTTCAAAAGCGGCCTGGAAGAAGCCTTCTGGGCTCTCTGGAGAGTGTAACTCACAGCCGGCATTTGCTTGTATTTCAAAGGGATCTGGGGGAAGGGTAAAATGAGAAAAAGTTTCAATGAAAAAACTAGATCATTGAAATAATAATCTAAAGACCTCATCAGCAAGTGTAGTAAAAAGGAAGGATGAGCCAAAGATATATTCAGTTAGGAACTAGGGAGAGAAAAGTGGCTGGGGATGGATTAGCAGGAGATTGACCTTAGAAAAGTCTGGGAAAACAACAGCTGAGTCATGTAATGTTGGCTAGAAGTGAGGGGGAATTTTTATGAGGAAGATAGCAGTAGCATTTCACGATGCATGAAGTTGTCATAATCACTGTTGGACTATGGATATAGATCTTTGAAGAAATCAGGGGAAGATATCATATTTTAAGGAAGTCAAGCACAAAATGGACAAAGGTGTGCCTCTGGCTTGTGGGCCACAGGGGGAGATCACAGGCAGAAGATTAAAAAAAAATACAAGAAAAAATATTTTAAAATAACAAAAGTCTAAGAAATTTTAAAGAATCAATATTTAGAATAATCCCCTAAAAGATTTACTCATGCCGACTTTTATGGTGGAATGGGATAGTAGAAAATGGCCCTATTTAGATAGGACTAGAGGGTTAACCAGAAATAGATCAATCCTCTGAAGAATTCCCTTCCCTGTGTTGGATGAACTTACATTCGAAATGATATTGACTGGCATGGGTTTGAATCTGCTGAGTTAATCCAATGAAGTATTCACGGAATAGCAGCTCCAGGAATGCAAACTCCTTATTGCGGAAGTTGCCCTTGGACCAGGTGTGCAGGAATATTATTGTGCCTAATTCACTCTCCCAGCCGTGAATCTGCATCTCATCCAGCCAACCTGAGCCTTGATGCTTTGCCCAAGATTGGTTGGCGAAGGAGGAGATCTGGATGAGATGGAATGAGATCCGTTCCTGGACCACTGGGGATGGAAGAATATCAAATGGTATAAGGCAAACATGAGTGGATTGCAGGATAGGGAGAAGACAGTAAGTGGTCCAGTTCCCAGAGAAAGAACCTTAGCCTTGACCTTCTTCATACACAGAGCAGCACGCCCTGTCACCGTCCTCCAAAAGAATAAAAGGGATACTCAGATTGTAAGCATCTTGGTATTAGAGTCCATCCTGGGAAAGCCCACCATGCTCCACCTGGATCCCCCGAGCTGGGCAGCTGGCAGGGAGGTTCTCACCATGTGCATCGTCACTGCCTGGGAGGAGGAGAGCCAACGATGCAAGGTACAGAAGCAGCATTTAGTCTGCAGGTGTTTCCTTCTCTCTCTCAGCAAGACTGGTGGTCTTTGATGGCTGATGTCAACAAACCTCCCCTTCCATACCACTAGTCTGTCTTCCTCCTCTCACTCATCATTTTCTGAACCAGTCACTGATGGCAGCAAAGAAATCTAGATTTTGCCTCAACACTGAGCCTCCTACTCAATCTCTCATTTCCCCTCCTGCTCTGAGCTAAAGTTATGCCCTGTCTCTGAATTCCAGCGGTTCTCCTCTTCAGTAAGCCTCCATCGTATTTCCTTCCTCAAATGCCCTTGGACAAAGTAGTGTGTGGCACTCAAGGGTCACCTCAACTCTCCGAGTCTTGCATTCTATCTGTCACATAAAAAGAAGAGACTGTATGGCTTCCTGCTTGTTTGAATGGGTCACAATGTTTCCTGTTTCTGCTCTGAGCTAGGCCTCATGGTCCCTCCTGTCCTCTTCTCAACACTCCTTGCTTCTCTGTCCCTTTTCATTGTCCTCCCAGTTTTCTCTTTCCCATTTCACCCTTTATTCCTCCACAATTCTCATTTCTTGATTTTCACTGGTTCTTTGATGAATTGGAGAAACTGCAGTTTCATGGCTCCTAGGACTTCCCCATGCACTCTCCATTTTTTTAAAGAGATAAAATTGTAGCCTTTCAAAGTATAGAAGATCTGACTCATGAACTCCAATTTCAAGTTCTTATCTCATGTGACTCTCTCATCCTTCCTGCAGCCCTTCAGAGCAAGGAGCTCCATCTCATTGCAAATGGGCAAGTTCTCCATATGGCATTGACAGATTTCCTAGCATAGGTCAAGGTCATAGATGAAAGAGACTTTGGGAACTCAGGCATCAAATGAAGCTGGCTTCCCTTCATATCCTTTCTTTGTATTTTCCCATCTAATACACAAAGGACACTTACTTATTTTACTTGCCACTCAATGTGTCCTTGCCATCCAGATACTAAAATGTGCTCTGAGTCATCATAGCCATGTGGTAGGCTGGACAATGGCATAGTTAAGTGATGGGACTCAAAGTGGGCAGTCGGTCTCTTCATCAAGTCACAGAGTGGAGTAGCAGATTTTGCTGGTCATCTGACAATGTAGTTGGCAGTTGTTTATGGGCATGACATGTCCTACTCTGGGACCTTGTATCGGAAATTTTTWAAAAAATTAAATAAAAGAGATTTTTAAAGGTAGATAAGACTATATAAGACTATAAATACATAAATAAGTCCTGCAATTGAGTTTAATCCATACATTCAGCCACCAAAAAGAGTTTCTCAATATATGATTAGTACCATCAATCACAGGCATGTGAACATACAGAGATTAACAATATAATTTGATATATCAAGGGACTTTAAACTACAGAAACACATTTAAATCAAGAACTAAAATGTATAAAATTAATATATAGAATTCCCGAGACAAATCTGTTTTGATCAATATTTTCAAAAGAAGCATTTTGCCTGCCTAAACCGTCCATCATTTAAAATTCCGAAGAACATCCTGTATTTCAACCTGGGGGCTAACTACTGTGCAGTGTGTAACTGTGTTTGGCAGGAGGCTACATGCATGGGAGACCATGAAAATCCATGTTTAAGTTACATTTTGTGACCTAACCAAATTGATTTTTTTAAAAAGGCAGTATCTGTCAATGTTTGAATTTATTCAAGTTATTATGAGAGGTACTTAATGATTTGTCAGTAATAGTGACTGGTTTATGTGTGTGGACACATGAAAACAAAATCATTGTGAGACCCAGGCAATACAATTATTATTATAATGTCCTTAAAATAATATCCACCAAATACAGAGATCTGTTACTTAAAATCCCATTTGTAACATTGTTATTCTTACAGTGTATTTCATTGTATGTGTTTATCCTGTAAAACATGATGTTTTCATATACATTATGTTTTACTTAGATTTTTCAACACTAATAATGAGGCTGGTTGTCACTCTCACAAACTCTTCCTATCATAGCTGCAGATATTTGCAGTTCTATGAGCTACAAACTCCTTTAAGAACAATTTACAGTTGAAGCCCTACCCAAATCCCTCACCAGTACCAGCTTTCATCCTGTCAATCGCAAGCCAGCTCTTTGTGGTTTTAGGAAGTGATAACAGATAAAATGCCATGCATATGTCACATTTATTTTCTCTATGGGCCTTCAGGAGAAGCACAATCCTCCTCTTCCCTTATAATGGAGGTAGAGCCAGGAGACTGACTTACAGGCACTGACGTGAGTAATGCCATTTCCATGTCTGACCTTGTGAAATATCCCATTTGATCATCTTGACCTGAAATACCATCTTCCAAACAGCAGACAAGAGACAAAGAAGGACCCCCAGTTCTACATAGAGTTTACATAATGAGAAGCAAACTTCACTGTGTTCATCCTCTAAGACTCCAAAGTTTATGTGTAGCTTCAACACAATTGAGTTAGACTGGCTAACATTATAGAGCCCTATAAACAGCAACCTTTCCAGAATTTAGAACCAGGTGAGATAAAGATAGCATGAGACAGCTGCATCAAATTGCTATCTATTGCTTCAGATAGATATGCTGGAGGATTTCCCTTAAATGTGAAACCCAAGAAATCTTGCTTGTATTGAACCCTAAATGGAATGGCCAAACTCCCTGTGTATGGACTAGGTATGTTAAAGCCCCAATATCCAGTGTGGTTATGGAAGTAATCAAGTTTAAATGTGGGGATCCAACATGGCAGCCAGCGAGGAAGCAGCGATTCCAACGTCTCCACTTTAATGGGATAAGAAAGACCCACCTGGACAGCTGCAGCCTACCTACGGAGGAACTTCTAGCATAATTCCCTTTAGAGGAGAACAGCCGTGATCTGGTAGGTTTATTGGAAGTGACAGTTTGTCCCAGAGAAGTGGATCTTGGACGGCCACTCGGGCACAGAGGTCTAGTCCCACAGCCATTAGCCACTCTGGCAAGGGGCTCCCCGGGGAGGCCTAGCTCTCGCTTTGCGAGCAGCCATCTCACCTGTCCGGTTCCTGACCACCCGGCCACAGCTACCCGGCTCCACAGGTGGCACCGTGGCGGGTGCAGAAGTCAAGTCCCAGAGCCAACAATCGCGTTTGCAAGCGCGGTCACCCTGAGCGGCTTGGGCCGCCCCGCCCGAACCCGCAGTCGGCCTCCGCCATCCGG